AATTTATTCGACTCCTGGTTTTGTGTATAGGAACGATTTTCTTCCAACCACCGCCGTTCTTTTGTGTTTTGACGGGGCAAGTAAGGCTTCATGCATCTTGCCCCTTGTATTTGTCCATAGACCTGGAGACAAGCTATATTCATGGTTCACTTTTGATATTATTTTATTTTTCTGGTATAATTTTTGGTAAAAGTGGGCGTGTCCTGCTTAGGATTGATGATAACATGCCGTTCAGCTTAGGGTAGATAGTTATGACTACGATAGCACAACTAATGATGATGTTTTATACAAAGATACATTGATCGAACCGTACAACTTGTACAAGCTAAACCTAGAAAATGCAGAAAAAAAATATTGATTTCACTGAAAAGTGCATTAATTAAATGCGAGGAAATTTTTCCTTTGTATTTTCTTTAACTGGGCGTAGCTGCCATGACGTTTTGTAGCGTTCCAAATTGTAAATGACCCAGATTTATAAATTATACTTTTTAAACGACTCCACAGAAATAGGTTGATCAGTGTCACCAAGTCTCTCCTCAGAGCTCTGAACGTTTTGTCATAACAGATGGCACTTTCTCGTAAGAATCACATTCATTTTAAATGAAGCATACATTTTCAGAGTTTCGACGTGACTGAACATTAAGAACATTCCAATTGACGAGGATGGCCTTAGCCATTTCATTAATGATCTCTTCTGTGCGGACACTCCGTAAGTGCTTGAAGCGCATGGTAACAGATATACACCGAGTTATTCTAAGCTTTTCCTCTAAAGAGCGCAAATAGGTCCTAGAAGGTCCAGCATGCCTGTTGATAAAGTACGGCATAGTAATAAGTAATAAGTGTTTGTAGAAAAACTCAATTTTCGTTTTAAGTTCATGATAAAACGACGACTTCTGCTAGTTCTTGCAAGTAGTATAGCGTCTACATTAGCGACTGGGTTATTATTTATTTAATTAGCCGAACTGCTGGTGAGTATAACAGAAAAATTGAAAGCTTGTGCTTATTGTCTTCAGTTAAACAAACGCCAACCGTTTGAGCTCCGCGCTCATCGGTCTACGTTAAATAGAGTTTGTTTCGCTTGGCCCAATCGCGCGTAGACAGCACTACTTGAACCCTCTTGAGGAAAAAAATGGCAGTTATTATAAAGGTACAGTAAACAGAGCAAATATTTAGATCGAGATTATGCACTAGGAGTATACAAACCTAGTTTGGACATCCCTTCTCAGCCGTCACAAAATACTTGACTGTGCAATCACCTGTCAGCCCATAAATACGACTAAAGAAATGAAGAATACATGTCAGTTTGCCATACATAAACAAGTGAATCTTTTTGGTAAGGTTCTAAAATCTAAAATGAAAGACAGGTCAAAAACCCAGATTTATCTGCTTCGGCCTCATTTCTAGCATACTAAAAATCAAGCAAGAAAAACATTGCCCACTAAAGACAACTACTCTCCTAACAACTTATTTTCTAACACAACGTAGATGTGAAGTTTTATCAACTACTGGTAACTGCTACAGCCAGCAATTTGGCATCTCCGTTCCAACAACGCGAACACTCGCGTTGAATACAACGGAGATAAAATAAACCAGCCTTCTCACTCACTTACGGAATCCCCTTCCATTCGTTTTTGTGCAATCAATAATTTCATAAGCACCTCTAACCCCTTTACAGAACGCATACATTGTTTATGTATAGGTATTCACTCGCATCGGACACTCTTGCTGCTTTGATATCTGTGACAATTTACGTATGGGTGGGTCGTCCTTCGCGACACGTGGTGGTCCTCTCCTGAGAAATCTGACGGTACAAGGCGCATTGTAGAAGGACGGCCTCCGTCTGGGCCTGCTCGACCCTCCACGCTCCCAAGCAATGTACAAGAGCGCGCTCAGACTCAAAGCAGTGTACGTAAGCGGGCGGCCCCTACACGATGTGCGCCGAAGTGAGAGGTGCGGCAGATCGGAGACCATGTACATACCTCGCCTGCTAGCCACAGAATGCTCCTTGGGCCGAACTCAGAGCCGGAACCTACTCTGCTCCGGGCGATTGCCTCATGCAGACTAAGCTTCTGGGGCTCCTCTATTGGCTTCCTTCGTATCGTTGAGGGAGAGGGTCCTGTCCCGCCCGTGTCAGCGAGGGAGAGGCGAAGGTCGACCGCCGCCAGTTGAAGAATCCTGCAACAAGCCTTCAACGGCCTCGAGAAGGATAGTGACGACATGGTGGAAATTTGGCAAGAGCTCTGCGCGGGCTCAACAAGGAGACTCTTGGACACCCTAACATGATGGCGGAGAAATAAAACGTACGCGTCGAAAACCGTGGAGTTCGATGAATAAACTGCTAGGTTATTTAGTTTGTTGGCTAGTAACATAGGAGTTAATTTAGCAGTGACCGAGGAAAGCTGAACTCCGTGACAAACAATTCATTCTAGTAAAGTCTTTTGGCCGATGTTAAACACTACTTACGTTTTAGTCTGATCATAAAACAATGTCTATTTTTGCTTATTATTCACCATTTATGAGTTTTTATTTACCAAACATTATATAGCATACAAAATTACTTCATTCCCATTGTGGTGTTAGATATGGAATTCTGGCGCTAAAGTGAACGTTGTTCTCGATTAAACTGGGACGATTTCTATGTTTCAAATAAATAAATAAAATCCATATTTAATGTAAAATAATGTGATAAAATAAGGCAACAAATCCGATTGGTTAAAAACGCTCATTACCCATTCTGTTCATTAAAATTCAGCGTATCTTGAGGAAACAATTTGACCGCAAAAGCACACTTGTCCAGGAAATTCATAAGCATATACTATTTGAAAATGTGGCACAATTAACGAAGGTACCCCCAAGCCTGTTCATAAGCGAAAAATGCTTTCAATATGTTCCTAAGAGGCAAACCGTTCCACTAGAATGCACCCCTATATACGAATCCGCTTCATTGACGAGAAACAATATAATAATAATAATAATACTATTAATAATAATGACGAAAAAAAAAAAACTGTACCTTTCTTTCAGATTGGGAAGATCTTGATTGGCTATAAATGTATAAGGGAAATACAAGATGATAAAAATGAGCCCGGATTGACTAACGCATTTCAAAATCGCCTGGCGCTTGGGACCAGGAGTCGTTCCGTGCATTGGCTCTAGAACAGCTGCCCTGGGGAGTTGTTAATGAAAAAACTATGAATCGACGTACAAATGACATCCCATAATGTTGTAGCTCACGTAATGAGCATCTTACCCTCAAAAGGGTAATTTTACCCTCGAATATCCGTAATGGCCCGCCGGCTTCGTCGTGCACTTCTTACTTCTAATTAGACAATAACTCTCAAATAATGAAAGAATAAATAGAATTCACTACCTGTAAGTCTTGTATTGAGTAGTCCATAGTAGAGTCCATACAAGACAGTAATGGCTTTGGCATGAAGCAATTATGGCGTCACTGACCTGTTACCTTGAAAATAATCAAACCTTTACTTGATAAATAGGTACAAAGCCGTCGTTCATCTAATAAAAATATCTAATATAATAAGTCATTTATTATTATTGATCATACTAAATATAGTACGTACATTACGTACTGGCCAAACTTAGATCATATATTTTCTTTTAGTATTTATCAGCAAAAACTATACGCCGTTGTTGAGCATATGTTTTATGCGTATTCACGGGTATAGAAGTAGCTTAGTGAAATATATATATATATATATGGAACGTTTAATTTGGTTGTAGTAGTCATTTCCTATGCTACGGTTATCCTGAGCACGTTTACCCAAAAAAGGCGATAGACTATGTACAAGTTAAGGCAAACACGCGTTTCAAACGTTCACTCAGCCGCTGTGTAAATATATATAAATATAAAATACTAGTAAGTTAGATCTAATGGAAAAAAAATATATATATCCTGCTACGCTAAAAGCCTAAATGATTAATGACAAAATATATAATAGAATTGCCTCTATTTACTATCTGCCTGGTGTGATTGTTGCTCTTTTGACCCACCCTCTGCAATTGTAAAAGCTAGTTACCCTAGTGATCCCATAGTTCATCATATGACAATTCGACCGCTTGGTTCTCCCTTCCGCTATGAGCCACCAGGGTCGTTTGTCAGGCATTTGCCCTTAGCAATAGCACGTAACCAATTGTCTCAAATTCTAACAAAATATGTTAGTCCCACTATTACTTATCGGTTGTTGCACCTGCATAGTTCCTCGAAATCTTCCCCTAGATTCCCTCTACACAGATCCCTAGATCCCCCCCAGCGTTTATCCCGCACAAACGCCAGCTCCAAAAAGCGATCACATCGAATTTAGTTAACCAACACATGTGTGTACTCGAAAGAAAGTACAGCCCGTTAGATCTTCTGAAACCAGATATCGGCTGTCAACTTCACAGTTGGCTAGTCCTTGTTGCCGTTGACGGGAGCTCGCTAACTGGTCTCACCTAGGTTGTCTACCGGCAACTAGAGTATTTGTTGCCAGACGGCCTGAAGGCGCAGTGGTCCAATCAAAGTGACCCTGCAGTCTTCACCTGCATGTGTACCAGAGCATATGCCCTCTTCTGGGCATTAGGTTACACAAAAGACACCTCTGCCTAACGTAACTTATAGATGCTTCGTCTCTCTTACGTGTCAACCTTTCTACGACTGCGTGTCGTGGTATAGGTGGCTCATTGGTATCATCTCATCCGCTCATGCGGTGTTTCGGTAGCTTTACCGGCACATATCGTTTGCTGTTGACCTTGCCTTATCTGGCAGAAGTCTCTGCTGTGACACTCGCTGGTCCATTGCCGCTACAGTAATTCTGTGCCGTCCACGTTGGACTTACAGTTTTACCCTCTCTCGTCAATACGGGGCGGTTCTCCTGTCCAAGACTCCTACGATAGTCCCTCTCCCTGAGGCGGAGCCTCGGCTCTCGTTTGCACTGCAGGCCAATGGATGGACTCAGAGTTCGGCTTGCGACCAACGTGCGCCTGTGAAGTGGAAAGCCAGCGATAGCACTTTGAATTACTGTCGAGTCACTAGGTAAGCGTGAGTGAAACGTTGTTTGTCTTCGGTATGAGGCAACACTGCCCGGAAGGAGGGCAAGCCAGAAGATAAGTTCTGTAGATAGCGGTTCTCTCCAGAACCAATGCGCTTCCCGTCTAATCTAGCTAGTATTTAGGAAACACACGATATCTGGCAAAACAGCAGCAGCCCAAAACGTAGAATTCGTTGGATGTGTGCTTCATTGACGACACAGAACAAGCGAGGTCGAAGAGGCCTCACGATGTTGGTAGACATGTGCCTGCTTAAGAAGTAACAAATGGGATATATATATTCATGTATACTATGATACGCTTACGGTGAAGTCAACTCAAGGATTAGCAGGCAATAAGCTAATATTAAGGATCAAGTGAAGTGAACCGATAAACGACAGAGATAAGTGTGAAGTGGCGTAGCGTTACGGAAGTGCCGTGTCACAAAAAAATTGCATATAGTCTTCTTTACAAGTGTCTTCACGATGTAAGTTTGTGTTATTTCACTTTGACGTTAGAGTTAAAAAGGCGGCGACAGTGCAAGGGATTGACAGGTTCTGCAGATCGGCTTTGACGTGTGCACACTGGCTTTTCTTAATATTAGTGAATGTTTTTGGTGCGTAGTTATTTTGATACAGGTGGAAGCTTGATGAAAGTATCCAATGACGAAAGGCGCACTGATGTCTATTAAAGGAAAGTGGTAATTGTCTATTCAGTGGTACCTGGGATAGTTTCGGGTAGCTCAGCGTTCGTGCGATCAATCAATCATTGCTTGACTGTATCATTTTGTTGTCCGTATTGCGGACACAACACAGAGGCACCAGGATAACAAAGGGCCATGAAGTGTCGTGGCTTTTGGAGGAGTCGAACCACGACGGTTCTATTCGCGGTTCTCGCGGTGCATACGACACAAGCTAACGGTACGAGAACTATTTACTTGTCATCGATAGCAACGTATGCAGATACACATGCATACACGAATATCTACATAACGATACTACTTCAATCAGCTCGTAAATAAGAGCGCATTTTAATAATATGATAATATATTGAAGAGTGACTTCCAAACCATCAGTACTAAGCAGCAGGTGCATTTTAGTTGAAGTATAGTAGTTTATAATAGGGACATTATAATAATTTAGTAAAACATATAATATATTAAAGTTCTGAAGTACTTAACGATGTATAAAACGGATAGCTCCATTATGTGTCTCATTACTTCATAAATTTCTTCCATGGAATTCGGTCCCATTTTTCAACCGAACGGGAGAACCGTGTAGTACAACCAACATATATCGACAGTTATCCTTCTATATGATTTATGTCGGCAAAGCTAAGATGCGCCAAATGGCCTATTGACTTGACTTTTGAAAATACCCGATACCAACAAAATCACATTCTCACTTTGGGAAGCATTTCATAGACCGTTTCTATTAGGATGCATGCCCTTGGAGTGTTTGTCTGCTACTCCCTAGAGGCAAATTGGCGAAATGCCCCAACATCTACGTAATTTGCGTAAAGCGGCTTATTCGACCACGGACTCACTGGAGACACGTCAAGCTTCTAGGGCACTGAAAAAAGAGTTGACACTTTATAACAGCACTCTCTAGTTCATCTATTCAGGTGATCATTTATTACATACTTCATTTTCACCCTTATAGACCTGTATCATATCAACCATCAAACAAGCGACGGGTTAGGTTTGAGTAATATCTTCTCTTGTTGAATTGTAGTTCATAGTCAATTATTAGAGATTTTTTAGCAACCTATCTACTGAAGTCTATAAGTAGGCAAAACGTGGAAAAGTAACTTAGACAAAGTTTGTTGTTTAAGCGTATAAAGAGCAACTTTGTATAACTAGAGTTCACAGATAAATTCAAACCAACTTGATGCGTCTCGATTGCGATTTTTAGCATTGCACTTAAAAGTGAAGTTACCTCTTTTGACATTCACTCAACATCAAAAATATACCTATGTATAACGATGGCTTACGAGTAACTCTTCTTCAAGTAACCTGTAGAGTATTCATGCGTTACTGGCAGAAATAACGGAAATAATAAAACATAACGGAAACAACCCAGTCATAAAACGACTCTTACCCAAAATGAAGCACAGATCTATCATGATGCGTCGACTGAACAGCTTTTGATCGTTCTTATACAGGTACCGGGCCAGAGAAGATATACGACACGATATAAGGACAGTGGTCCTTTATGCAGACTATGTAAATGATAATAGCGAATGGGTCTGACTGCTAATTGTATAGCGTATGCCTGCTAATAGATAAAGTATCGCAACTAGTACAATTATTTCCTTCGAAGGTCATATTGTAGCGCGTCAGTAGCCGCTGGCCCGATTCGATCAGACCTCAGCTATGATCACGAGCACTACCTTCGAATAAAGGTGTGCATGGATCGATATGGAAAGAACGCCGCTAACTGTCATGTTTTATATGGTATGCATTTTGCTTATGCAAAGCAGAAAGAAGAACATCCGCTTCATTGACTTCTGCTGTCAAACAGACTGCGCAAGATCTTCTCATCGCATAGGCATCGTAATGATAATTGAATTTAATTACACTAGCAAAGGTAAGCGGAATAGCGAGCGGCCGCGGGTAATAGGGATGTACCTCTCTCGAAACGAGAAGCAGAGATCTTTGATGCATGGCCCTCGACCAACATCGATACCCGATTACACTCTCCTCGTTGTAGGTTCCTTTTCTTTAACCAGTAGCACAATAGACGATCTGAGTTGACCAGGCATGTACGAGACCTCACATACCCTAACAAGGCTGTACATAGGGCTTCGGCGCATTACTACAAGCACCTTGCAGACATAGACGTCTCTCACAACCAACCGTACGATAGATCAGACCGTATTTGGGGTCATCCAAACGTTCGGATGGCGCTTGTCCAGCTGGGCAATTCTAGGCCGTCTTTCTTAGTTTTTCTCTGTTAAACTCCTTCTCCTCAGATGGAACTTCTAAGTTATTTTTTTGACTCCCTTTGCTTCTTTCGCAGTTCTTACACCCGGAGGAAAAACTGTTTGCACCACTCTATTGAACAACCGCCATAGTTCAGGCCAACCGCCAATCCTCAGGGCTTTGCGGGCGACCTGTCCTTTCTACATACTTCCTTAAACTCCACTTCCAGGGCCTTGAAAAATTTGAATGTTACGAGGAGTTGGTGTAATCGTGTCTCGTAAAGTAGCGGATAAGATGGGCGCGCTCCCGTGTGTGGGCTTCCGTCGTTCAGGTACTGGCTCTCTATTTTTATGAGTTTTCGTTGGTCCAACCCTTCATTCACTGAGATTGCTTTCTATATTCGCTGTCTCTTACTGGCCTGAGTGATGGCAGCCACGACAGGGTGCTAAGCCGCTCGGAAAGAACTCTCCTTTGGCTGCCTGAGCCAGACTAGGGGTTAGGAATTAGAGAGGTGCCACTAAAAGGGAATAGAACCGAGGGAATTCCTATTTAAGGGAAGTATGCCTATGGAGGCTTCTCTGGAGTCTACGTTACGAGCTAGTTGTAACATAGAACACGTCTGACAGACAGAAAGCCTTAGAGAAGGGTGGTGTTAACAGCTCGAGTAAAGCAGCCACACACAGACTCGTCGAAACCGGGCTTCTTACGCCGTCAGTTTGCTCCTCGTGGACGTACAGCTTTTGGCTGTCTTGTTCTGTCAGTTAAACGGCGCTGCTGTTTTTTTGTTTGGACAGAAGCGCGCTGCTGGCATTTGCAGTGGAGCGGCTGCGGACCTCGTTTGCCCCGTGGATTCCCCAATCTTTTCCGTTGTCGAAGCAAAGCAGCAGGAGTTCAGGCTTTGACAGCTGCCCGTCAAAGGGATAGTCTGCGCTGCTTCAGTGTGCAGTGAAGGCGCATAGACAAGTACCCGTAAACCTGACAGCCATTCGATCAAGACGACAATGCGTGCTCACCTTGTTACTGGGACCAAAAAGAGGAAGGACGCCTGCAACGGGGAAGGCGAGGCTGGCTGTAACTAGCAGAGTGGATGTCGCTGCCAATATGAGGACAATCGAAACATTTGGAGAAAAAGAACGCGTAGGAATTCGAAGTCGTAGAAAGGAGCATGGAGAGATCGTCATAACTCAAATTGATTGCGCGAACAATATTGGCGAAACAATGACAAATTCTACATGGTGCGCGATCCTGTTCATATGTAGATATTTGGTAGAGGTAATACATGCATACACAAGTAAAAACAAACGCTGCTTTGTTAGTGCAAAGTGGCTTAAGAGAAACAATGTTGTTTTCTAATGTTTTTGGAAAATACAGCACAGCTAATTCAACATGGCTAATAAACTTAGATAAAAAACGCCGTATAACTTAGATAACTATGAGGTATCAGACCCTGTAATATCATCAGGCAAAGTGCATTAGGTATACTCTATTGTTAGGGAGTATTATAACTCTATTAGTGATACATGTCGTAGATCTGCAAAAATGAGGACACGTACGACCATAGGCCCTGTCTTTTCCTTACAGCCACGCGCCGTCTGATCTGTAAATACCTCTATTGGCAAAACCTATAAGCAAGGGTTTAAAATATTTAAACGGATCCCCTTCTAGTTTTATAGCTAAGGGTACGAATCACCAACTCTCGTAAGATAAAGTACCTGTGCAATTATTTAGCCTCGACGGCTCATTAACAATTTACTTTAAGACGGCGATCTGCACACATCCCTAGGTGAATCCTAAATTTAGGTACTCCTTAAAACAAAAACGAATTCGCTGCCTAGCCCTAATGCATTACAGGATTTCCTATAGCTGTAATTTCAGTTTTCGAAGATATACCAATATTGTGTAGAACATTGGAGATTTTTCCGCAAACACATAGTCAAAAAGCCGACCCAAGAAAATGATCCACATAAGTGCAACATACATATTCCTCAAACAGTCACAAATAACTACACGAAACTTAAAAAGAAAGCAACGCCGACACACATTCATGTATATGCTCATTCATAATGGCGTAAGTTGATTTACGTTAATTCGTCGGGAAGTATCGCCGATACTCCCGTTTGCATGTATAGAAGTTAAACAGTGCATGTAAGTTCAATAACCATCTCTATATTAATCATAAATATGGAAGAGTCGCCTTCGGGGAGAGCCCTTTGAATATGATGTATAGGTAATACGCGCGAGCATAGTCTCTCATTTTTTATTGTACGAGTGAAGATGACTACTCCCACAAACTGGGGTAGGGTCGCCTAACACGTGCATGTATTAAGCTAATGTTAAAGTCTAGGGCAGCGCCCTCTATCCGTTACTATGTTAGCACAGCACAATGATTACCAAAGCGGTTAGCCAAAGCGGCTAGACACATTCAACCGCTCCGGCGCGCGCCATGTTTAATCTAGCTTGCTCCACTATGAAGTAACGTAGTCGTGCCTTGCTACCAGATGTCATCTTGGAGAGTCATTCTTTTGTATCGGGCAGTACCATGTAAGGTTAGAATCCAGCCTCAAAGGGCTTTCCCTGCTTCCCTCTTTGCCTCTCTCTCTCCCCCTTCTCTCTCACATCACGGGAGGCATGGGGTCGTTACTTACTTTGCCGTCGTCCACATAAACCGTAAGCCTCTCCCGACATAGGGATACCTTCTTATATATGTACTACGTAGCTGGCCTGGGCCTCCCCGTTACGCCTTGAGGTTTTGGGGAGTTCCGCAAAATGAGAACTGTATATTCCCCATATTTTTGCTCCATTCACTCTCGTTGTTTTCGGATGGTGGCGTTCTGGCGCAGCAGCTGCTGGTAATACTGATAATGCCAGGCCATTGGGAGGAGTCACTAAGAGCAGACGGCCAAAGCGCTGAATCGGTGTTGACACAAGAAGTTTCCTGCTGCCACTTCGACACAATACCATGTTGGACAGACATGTCGCCAGTGTAGGGCATCCGTT